CAGCAATCATTACAATACCTGGGTGCTGGCACAGACTATAGTTCACTATCAACGGAACTATAGTCTTCAATGGCTACGTGACTGTAGTATGTATACATCGAATACTTCAATCGGAGCTTGTTTTTTTTGCAGCGAGTAAAATCACATCAATTATTTGGTATCTATTTAAAAGCTGATCTAGTCTAGAGATGAAAAGGTGTAGTAAATAGGGGTTAAAAGGAGATTGATATTTATGTATATCCCTGAGTTGTATAGGCGCGCTCATCTATAGTAATTCGAAAACATTATTTATTTACATACAAAACAACAGTCTATAGCTTTTTCAAACTACAAACAATTCAAGACATGTTTGTAGAAGCATCGTTGTTGACAAATATTATTCTGTTTTCATTTTAAAGATATTTTAAAGAGTGTTGCCTACAATCGGTGACATATAGCCCACAGGTCTCCCGAAAGGGGGACCGAAGTCCGCACACGATCAGGAAGGCTACAGCTGTTTTGAGCAGGCATTTCATTCTCTCACAGAAGTATATTTAATACCCGATACATCAGACCTGTCCCTAATGGGTGCTCAGCGATATAGTGAAGATCGGCTGTGATGAAATATCCGTCGAAAGATATAAAAGAGTTCAATATGCAGTAATACTTATTTATATTCGGTTGTGGTGCAATGGATATTGTGGGCTGTATGCGCTCATCGATGGACCAATGAAATTTGATGACACGTGTGCAGTGACGCGCGAGTTCCCGACGCGCGAAATTACACTTTATATTTTATCAGAGAGGGTTTAGGATTTCACCGGGTTTATAGGCTTTTTAGGGTCAAAATATAAGTCATAGACTCTGCGCGTCTTATTTTATATTCGTGTGTACATATAAAGAAGCAGAAATACACACGGCGCAACACACATGCATAGCGGACAATCAGGTCTCCGTCTTCCGCTATAATAAACAGAGACCTACTGTCTGCTGATTGGAACGATGGTCGTGTACATCAACATCAGCCCGATTGAATGATCAGGGGGGTACTTTCCTTCGGCTCGTTTGTGCTTCTACGTGTGCCCTATTTGTGGTCGGCTCTTGTGAGCTCGCTTTATATCGCATGCGTGCGTGAAAAATTGAGATGAATTTGTTAGTTTTGTGTTCGTTTATTTGTATACTAAACTGGATGGAATGCCGGATAGGTACTATCTCATATGGACGCCATACTAACAAGGTAGGTGCTCTAGATCAGTGCGTGTGTACTCGCAAGAGTGTTTCGCACTCGTTTGTGTATTTAGGATATTTCTCGCATAGATATGATTTGTTTTAAATACCATATATATTTGTATAT